TTTTTTTTTTTTTACTTGAAGGCAATGCAAGAGGAAAGAGAAGCGAAACTTATCAATATTCTGAAAAATAATCTCGAACCATATGTCAAAGGGCAAAAGGATGATTTTTTGGAATTGGCGAATTCGGAAGCTCATCGTCTTTCCCAAGCTGGTATGTTTGTCTCTGTTTTAACTTCTTAGTTTGTGCTTGTTTATAAATATATTGGTATTTGATTGTTTTTTTTGGTTAACTAGGGTTAATTTTAAAAAAAAGTTATTATAGTTAGTTTTTAATGGGATTTTAAATTTGTATTAAAATAATATTTAAAATAAAATAATTAAAATTGATTTGATGTAAAAGTATGAGATAAATGATTGGAAGTGATAGGTAACTAAAATTATGTGAGTTGGTGAATAGTAAATTAAAGTTGATGTAGTATGTAAGAATGATTGATATATATTATTTAATTATATTGATAATATTGAAATAGTGAGATTGAGTTAAAGTTGAGTTAGATTTTGAGTTGAGATTGATTTTTTTTTTTTTTTTTTTTTTTTTTTTTTTTTTTTTTTTTTATATATACGACTTATTAAAATGATATTTAATATCCATTTTCTAAAAAATGTTAGATGGAGATCAGCAGCAACTGAAGTTACTGTTTCGAAAACTTGAGATAATTTTTAATTGTGCATAATATCCTGTTGAGGAAGTAAATTTGGCAGAAGGCTATATAACTGCAAAAAATGTTAATTGAATTGTGTGCTCATTTACGTTGTTTTTCCAGCTTTTGGCCAGGCCATGTTACAAACAATCGGGTACATCTACTCGAGGCAAGCCGCAAGAGAAATTGGAAGGAGAAAGTGCTATATGAAGGTTCCTTATGCTGCAGAATGGGTTCGGGATAGAAAACACTTTAGAAAGACGAAAAAAAGAGCAACTAAAGGTGCCCCGAAAATTTATACTAGCTTTTTTTACAATATAAATGATTTAACAAATGTCCGCGAACAATTGTGAGAGTTGATTGTCAGCTTTTAGCTCTTTGCTTTCGATTTTTTTTTTTTTTTCTTTTTTGTGAATTCTGTTGATTCTGCATAATTCAGGGGTATTTTAAATGTATGATTGTGTTCGACCTTCGGTTTTCTTCTAAAGATTGAGCAACTTATATTTCTTTTCACGGCTTACTTTCAATTGTGTTGTAATAGCTCTCTTCGTCTATTGTTTTTTTCTTTTACCTCATAAACTCTCACTCAAAGATTTTGTCCTATTTTCATTTCAGCTGCTATTGACTGCATCCGGTTGCGAGAGGAGTGGAAGAAGTGCAATGAGGAAAAGAATAAAGATGAGAACACAATGAAAGCAGCCGAAAAAATAAAAGATCGGTTCTTTTATTCTTTCTGGAAAATGAATTTGGTAGATATTGAGATGACCTTATCTCATGTTTGTCAAGCTGTAAGTTCGGGAAATTCGGTTTGTTCATTTCTGCACAAAAATCTCGACCTTTTTTTTTTTTTTGTATTGACGATCTTTTGCCATGTCGTGCCATTATTAGGTTTTGAAAGATTCCAGTGCTTCGAAAGACATTCTCTATTTGCGGGCCCGCGGTTTGAAAAAGCTCGGCACAATTTTCCTCGTAAGTTCAACTTGTTTTCTCGTGTTTTTTACCGTAGATTGAGTTTGGTTTTCGAATTTTATCCAATGAGGAAAGTTATTATGTCATCAATGAACTGGTTTTCAGGGTGCAAAGGAAAGATAAAAACAGCTTTTGTTGGCATTGAGGCCTTTGATTGGAGAGCTTGTATTTTACATCAGTTAAAAATTTCTTCTTAAAACCGATGTGGGTTTATGTTGATGCCTGTAATTAATTTGCATTTTGTGAGGTGAATGTTTTGAGGGTTTACCTTGAAACAAAATGTAAAAATGTCCCATATGATTTACTTAAAAAAAAATAAAAAAAAAATAAAAAATGAAAGGAAGAGAAAGTGAAAAAGAATATTTACTGTGGTAAGAGAAAATTTCTATTGGATTTGTACCAATATATAAAACTGTAATTATTGTATGTTGAAACTGGGAAATTCAGTTGAATTTTTCGTTATGTATATATAAAATTCATTTTCTTATTTTACGTTTTCAAGATTGTTTTCATTTTTTTTTATTGTGTCTTTAGGCTTGACCAAGATATTTGGAGATTAATATTTTATATATATATATTTATATATTGAAAATATAAAAATTTATATATTTTATACAATTTGACGCCTTAAATAATTATTTTATATTGTCCCTTATAAGTAAGAAAAAATTCCATTAAAGAGAACTAAATCAACTATGTTTCTTTGTAAATTGGAACGATGTACAAATTATATTTATAATTTTAATCATGTTGTTAAAATTTATTGCTACAATATATTATGAACTAATAAATAATGTGCTACTTGTCTAATATTAAAATTGCTAAATGTGAAAGACGTTTATTGTTGGAAATTTCTTGTATACGCGAATCACATTGGCGGTGAGAAAATTCTACTTCAAACAATAATGAAATTATGAAAGACTTTTTCTTTCTTCCTGGTTTTGGGGAATGGCCGGCTGTCTTGTTATATTTATTTTTTTAATATGTGTATATATATATATATATATATATATTAAATTGAATATTTTATATTGTATAATTTTAAAAATAACATAAACAGAAAATTGATAACTCATAGTCTAAGTATGTATAAAAATGAGACAGAACGACCCGCCTGACTATTAGACCGACTTATACAAAATTTATTTTAGTTAAAAGGAAGTAGGGATTAGTTCAAATAAAAACTACTGCTTGTGTGAGAACCGTGAGAACTATATTTCATGCTATTTATAATTGTGTATGATACTATTTATATATGGTTTATTGGTAGCTATATTTGGACTATTTTTTGATAAGTAACTAATAAGGAAAAAATAAAAAGGAGACACGAGTAAAAGAAAAAAATAAATAAATAATTAAAAATAAAAGTTTTAATATAGTTAAATTGATTATTTGAGTAGTGTGTATATATGTACTGTTCAAAATTAATTTTTAATGTACATAATTCTTTATCAATTATGTTAACCTTGCAAACCTAGCTACATAGTCAATATTAATAAAATGTAAAAGTATTTATTATCTTTAATAAAATTTGAGAAATTATTACAAAAAAAAAAAAAAATATACTCCTTAAGTTTAGTTCACTTGTAAAAAGAGGCTTCTCATTTATCAAATTAAAATATTCTCCAAATTTTCTAATTTTTATTCGAAAAAATATAAAACAGTTAATTCGTCTCACACAAAAATTTATGAATTATTATTATGAATAAAGATGTACTTGAGGTGAACTTTCTCAACCTTAATGCCTCATTTTGATTTTGAATGAGTGTAATAGTGTTTGACTTTTCCATAATGCCTCATTTTGATTTTTGCGTGATGTGACTTGAATTAATGTAATAATATATAGTGTGTGAATTAATTAATTAATGTTTTATGTACTATTGTTCTTTGTGAAACAATATATAAATGTTGGGAGGAATGCACAACTTTTGTACATATGTTTTAGCTTCAATTGCCAACAGCCAAAACAAAAACTAGAAAAAATAAAAGAAAAAAAAAATATTGATCAAGAAGAGTATTATGGGTCTCACTGTAATTTTCAAGAAGATGAGCCTTCTTTTTCTCCTCATTTGTGCAACTCTTTTTTCCACCTCTTTTGCAGGTATAAATATTAAATAGAGGGAATACTACGGTCCCGTTACGGCACCATCCTGTTGGTTATTTTAACCGTTTGATACACATATAGTTAGTTTATATAAGATAGATGATCCAACGGTTAAAACACCCGACGGGATGGTACCGTAACGGGACCACAACATTTCCCATTAAATAGAAGTTCTTTCTTGATTTTGTCTTGGTTTTGTATTTTTGTGCATGTTTTTAGTGATTAATGACTTACATTGACTAAAACAAGTTGTTATTGAATATTTGTGGATTATTGAGCTCGACCTGCTTTTGTCGAGCGCAACATCCTGAACGAGTCGAATTTGAACAAAAACTAAATTAATTGAACTCGATCGTGTTTATATAGTTGGTCTAATTTGAGCTTTTGTTTGAACTTTCAAGCAAACTCAAAATACATAATCTAGAATAATATTTGTAATTATTAAAATATTAGTTCATATTTAATATCAGTTTACTGCATAGCTATTAAATTAGTAACAACCACATTAATCTTAAATTGGCTGAGATTAATTTCAATAAACTGTCCAAAAAACTGATTTCCTTGACGTTAATTTGCTTAAACAAATCATGCAGGCCGTCCATTAGCGTGGAAGGGAGTCAGCACAACTCATGAGGTACATAATGATTAATTATTAAAAAATAAAAAAATAAGTAAATTTGTGTTATATATATATATACAACGGGTCTTCACCTATTATGGTTAATGAAAAGCAGTTGCCCGAGGCAAAACATCAGGATGAAAAATTACGTGAAATCCGCGGAAGGCTTCTTAAGGAGATGACGACGAACGATTATGGAGGATTCGAAAGCACGCCGGTTCTCAACAAACCTCGATTCCAGCCCATTCCCAACTAAATCAATATCAATCGATCAATATATGCTATATGTCTGATCGTATTTGAGTGTTAGCGTATGAAAATGTTATGTTGGTCGTGTGTTTTTATAAGGTATACCGAGTTTTCTTCAGTTCGTATGCGTTGTGTTGTGTTGTGTTGTGTTGTGTAGTGTGTCAAGTGTGGCATTCGTTATATGTTTGTCTTCAATTGTGTCTTTAGTGAATTTGTTAAATTTTATATACTAAAGTTGTTGTGTAATTATGTTGTACTTGTTAAACTTTTAGAAACCTACATTGCATGATTGACATAAAAATATAGGGAAATGCTACTGTCCCATTACGGAACCATTCCGTCGAAATTTGTAATCGTTAGATCATCATGTAATCGTCAGATATAGGTAATTTAACGGTTACAAACCCCCTGTAAAATGGTTCTGTAACGGGACCGTAGCATTTTTTAAAAATATAATATATTACTGTAGCATAATTATATGATTTTGTACATCAAATCACCTTTATATATTTTTTTTTTTAATAGATATCATCTATATCATCAATTAATGCATTTTTCTATAGTTCAGCTCGATTTTAGCTCGCTAAATGAGCTCCTTAAGTTTGACTTGTTAAGGGCTCGGACTCAAGGTTGAGCAGCATGAGTTCGAGTTTAACTAGACTTGTTTACAACTCTAGGTAAGTAATAATGCTCGTCAGCTCTTGTGTTTAGCACGTGCCAAATTTACACCTAGGTAATTTTGCTCGTTTGTTTAGCACGTTCTAAATTTACGTATTAGGCATCCCGCTAATGTTTGGCCCATACTTCTGGGCTCACAATTATATGGGCCACAACTGTGGACTTGGGGTCACAAAGCCTATAACGTAATTCTGTATTTTTATCGTGCATAAAAAGGAAAATATATATCTCTATATAATTTTTTAAAATTTATACCTCAACTAGTACAACGCCCGTGTATTACACGGGTGCTTGCTAATTTTTTCTTTAAAATTTAAATTAATGAGAAAAAGTAGTTGAAAATTTAAATACCTTTTATACGAATATATATATTATTGTATATTTAGTACGACACTTTTTATTTGTGCGTCTTACATGTGTTATATTATAATAATTTTTTAACTTACAACATATGACTACATTAAACATAATATATGAATTGATAAATAATTTTATTTTTCTAATGAATTTTAATAAATATTATTCATCATCAACATCAACATCAACATACCCAGTATATTCCCAACAGGTTGGGGTCTGGGGAGTCAGTTGTACGCAGACCTTACCCTTGTAATTATACAAGGAGGCTCCATTATTAGCACTATACCAGGAAAATTGTGAACAATTACTCTTCAAGCTCCATATGCAATGGACATATTTTAATAAATATTATTATTTTTATTATTATAAGGATAAATATAATTTATTTATTTCATATATACAATATGGATGTCAAATCGAAGATCATCAAAAGATGATTAATTTCATATATTATATATGCAAAACCGATAAGATATACAAAAGTTATCAACTTTAAAAAAAAAATACATTTACAATTCAATAGCTAATTCACTACTAGAAACAAGTGCATTAGTAACGAAATTTTGCAACAGATTAGTATTGGTGCCATCATTACAGTATTAGTAACATAATTTTGCAACGGATTTAAATTGGTGCCATGGTTATGAGTTTTTGCAACGGAATCTAATTTGGTTTTATTACGAAACCACATTTACTTTATTTAGCTAGCTAGGTTTAATTCGAATAAAAAATAATAATTAATTGTTGAAATTAAATGTACATAATAAGATTTTATTATAAATGAATTTCAACTAAAAGAAAAAATATGATGATTAATGTCGAAAATGATTGTCTTATACACTACTTTTGAATAATAAATGGACTGAAAATTAGCCGTAGTGAATTGATCTTACCTCGGTTTGAAAATTAGCGACTTGTATTTTCAATTTTGGGTGTCCTCAATTTTTCTGGCTTGCAGTCGCAATTGATTTTCGGATACAAAAAAATTTATACTCGAAGCGGCTTGATCAGTTCTATCATATACCGTCTATCCGCACTCGAAATCACCAGTGAAATACAAAAAATACATAAAATCGACACCATGACGTAGTTCAATTTTTGGCTTACGCTTAA